TACCTGTGGAAGGAAGCTGCGGAGAGCCAGGTGTACTGCTCGAAGCTCTAGCCAGTTTATGCTGCACGACTGTTCTATGGAGGACCAGCAGCCTTGGGTTGTGAACAATTGAACGTGCGCTCCCCATCCAAACAGGCTGGCATTGGTGGTGATGGTAAGTGTGTGTGGCTCTTTGAAGAGGCAGCCTCTGTTGATGACTGGTCTGGTCCACCAGAGGAGAGATATGAGGACCTTTGATGGTACCTTGACATTGTATTTGGATTTGCTTCAGCCGGAGTGCTGGTACGGGAGCAGGAACCACTGGAGGGATCTAGTGTGGAGCCGGGCCCAAGGGATGATAGATATACATGAGATCATCTTGCCTAACAATTTTGATAGTTCCGCTAGGGACACCCTCTTAAGACCCCTGATCTCCTTAACTAATTGCTGAATGCTATTTAGTCTATCTGGTGACAGGTAAACTTTGCCTTCCACCGTATCTATGACTGCCCCCAGATGGGTTAACCGAGTCGATGGTGTTAAATGACTCTTTTTCCAATTTATTGAGAACCTGTGTTGTTGTAGGGATTGTAATGTGTTCTGAGTATCTCTGACTGCTTGATGATCGGAAGATGACAAAATCAAGATGTCATCAAGATAACACTGGAGTCGTATGGGGATATCACGGAGATGAGCAGCTAGCGCTGCAAGAACATTCGTGAAGGTCCTGGGGGCAGAAGCTAGTCCGAAAGGAAGGGCCACATATTCGAAATGGTGGTTATTTTAACAGAATCTCAGAAATTTATAGTGGGAAGGCCGAATAGCAATATGTAGGTACGCCTCCGTCAGATCTATGGACGTAAGGACGTCACCCTTTCTGATGCAAAGTAAGATAGATTGCAGGGTGTGCATTTTAAACTTGCGATATACTAAGAAACGGTTGAGACATATCAGATCCAATATTGCTCTCCACCCCCCGAACTTTTGGGAACAACAAAAAGATGTGAATAGAAACCTCGCCCTCGTTGATTGGTAGCTACTGCTTGGATGGCTCGTATGTCCAGTAGGTGATGGATAGCTGTTTCCATAAGATTACGTTTAACTGGATCTCTGGAAACAGGGCATGACATAAAAAAGTCTGGGGGAGTAGATTGAAACTCCAGCGGAAGACCAAATCTGATCATGTCTCTGACCCAGGAATCAGACATTGAGGAGTCCCATTGGTCCGCGAATAATTTAAGGTGTCCGCCAATGGGAGCTGGGTCCGGGGAGTTATCTTGGATGCCAGAAAGACCTATTTCCTGCTCCTCGAAAGGATCTCTTGGATTGACCACCCCGTCTGCTCCTAACCCCGAAGTCGGACCTGTCTGGCTGCTGCCCTGGTCTGAATGATGGGGATCTCTGGTATCTGGGTGAAAAGGGTCCCTGGTAAAAGGGCCGAAAGGATCCCCTCCAAAAGGACTGAAGGTTTATAGAATCTGACTTCCGAAAAAGGGAAGGAAGAATTTTCTTTTTGTTTCGGGTTTCAATTAGTAGTGGATCAAGGGAAGGGCCAAACAGTCTGTCTCCCACAATAGGAGATGAAGCCATCTTGCATTTGTGCTTAATGTCCGCTTGCCAATGTTTTAACCATAGTAAGCGTCGCGCTGTGACATGTGAAGTAATGGCCCTGGATGAAAACTTGACTGCATGATAAGTTGCGTCAGCTGAGAATTCGGTGGCTGCTATAAGTTTAGCAATATCTTGGTGCGCTCTAAGGTTGGAATTAGGGACATGTTCCTGTAAGAGGCGGAGCCATCTGAGAGAAGAACGGGTGAAGAAGGAGGCAGCCGTGGCTGCTCTGATGGCCCACGCGTCAGACTGATGGGCTCTGCGTAGGGCTAGCTCGGCTCGTTTTTCCTCCAGAGCTTCACTGGGAATAATCCCACTATAGGTTCATCTACCTCGGGAGTATTCAACAATTTTGAGAAATCAGGGGCCAAATTGAAATATTTCCTGTCATATCCAGTGGGGGCTGGGTACACCGCTGCAGAGGCCCACTGTTTCTGGACCAGGTCCAAAAACATGGGAGGAACTGGGATCACCTCTGCCTCAACTACTGGTTGGTTGAAAATTAGATCTTCTGGTCCCTCTTCTGAAGGAGCTGGAGTGGTAGAAGGGGTCGACTTGTTTAGGCGTGCAATGTTTTTTGCCTTAAACAAGAGAGATCTGAAAAGTTGTGGGCGGAATAAGCCTGTAAAAACAGGTTGGTCAGGAACAAGGCCCTCATCCTCAGACATTCCCCTTTCTAAGGGGTCTGCTTCTGACAGGGGCTCACTGTCATTGATCCTGATTCAATCTCTTCCATTTGATCAATTTGATCCACTTCTTCCTCCTCCTCCTCCTCAGTCGGCCCTTGGAGGGGGACTTCCCCTTGTAAATGTACCTGGGTATAGTGTTGCTCCGACTTGGTCAACAACCTCAGTGATTGGAAATCATAATCAGCGATCACAGGATGTTCCCTGGTCAGAACTACGTCTTGAAGACCTGTTGCGATTCCCTGGCGGATTGCCAGCTCCATCCAGGCCTTCATCCTCTCTGGAACTTCCTCTGGAAGAATGTCATCCTGACGAAGACTGGCAGCCATCGGAGTGAATGTAGCTTCGGGAGCCCTTCGCGTGGGCGGTGTCCCAGGTACTTGGGCCTGTTGGCTTTGGGGAGCTAAGCTGCGCCTGGATGAGAGGGAGAGATCTAGGGGAGGAGGAGGGTGGGAAGAGGTAAACAGACCTGGACTGGAGGAGGGAAAGTCCTGTGAGACCTTATGCGCCTCCCGTGTGCACTTATCTGTCTTTCTAAAGCTTTATGGCGCCTAATGGCATCCCTTTCTGAAGTTTTAGAATTCCCTTTAGCCTGCTTAGGTTTGTGCTGAGATGGGTGGAAGGCACTAAGCGTTTGAATCCTCCACCCCAAGTGGCGTTCAGAGGGGGAAGGAAAGCGATACAACTCCGTAGTGAGCAAAGAGCTCACGCCGCTGTTCGGGTAAAAGAAACTCTGCAGCTATCTGTCGGAATGGCAGGGGTAGAAAGAGCAGTTGTGGGGAGGGGGTGCGGAGCAGCGCCGAAGCCTCCCACCGCTTTGGGGCGCGAATTGGCACTTCCCTGTAATGCGAGTGATCTCCGACTGCCCGATAAGGAGCCAACGTCGAGAGATCGCAATGCGATTAGAAGGATAAAGGATTCTAAAGACAAGCTGATTAACTTTCAAACCTGCTAGCAAGGAAAGAATTTTTTCCTGTTTCGGCCAAGGAAGAATCACAAGCACTGCCTATCTCTCACGAGGCTGAGCCAAAACTGGGGAACGCTGAGGAGGAATCCCGTGGAGGAGCGTTCCACAAATTAAGCCCAGCCTAGACATGCAGAGACTGAAGCACCTCCCACTACTGGATGCTCTGAACAGCTCATGGGAGAATGGGCCAGTCACTTTTTCTCAGCCCTAGGAAGAAGGCAACTGAAAAACCTTGCCAAGAAAATTGCAGAGATGTGGAATGAAATACACACACTACCTTTAGCTGGACAAAAAGGATACTGGATAAAATTCAGATAGAGCTTCTATATCAGAGGTGTGAGTAAGAGGGAAGGAATGTGGTGGCTTCCAAGCACCACCTCTTTCATAACCACAAGAACAGGCAGGGACTGATTGTGAAGCTGGTGTACTTTAACTCTTAGGCCTGAAAGTTGTCAACCATAAGTGCAACAGAAAACAAACCTCTTCAGATTCTTCAATCCAAATCAAAACAGCCCAAGGGGAAAGAAAATAGACTTATCGTAAACCTCAAAGCATAACAGAGGAACAAGAGGCACAGAACAAGCCAGGAGAGGAAACACGGTTCCAGAAAACCAGACCACCAAACTCAGAGCTTGAAATGGTTCCTAGAGTTAGTTGTGATTACTGGGCTCTACGATAGGGTTGCCTGAAGGTAGCACAGTTATCATTTCATAATAAAAAAAGATTAGGTCTGAGTCAAGCAAATGAATATGGTTCGTATCTGCCAACACGTGAATTGTAACGAAGTTTTCTATGGCCAGGAATTCTTACAATCTGTTCTAATGCTTTGCATCTTTTTCTTACAGCTGCCGAGATACAATACAAGCTCAGAAAGGAATATAGGCGAGACATAAATCCAACAAACACATAAAAACATGTATGGGTAATTTCTTAGATACAAGTCACAGCATGGATGTTTTAGATCATTTGGACTGATTTTTTTTTGTCACCAGAAATTAAAATTATCAAAGATATGAAGCAATACATACACTTTGACATACTGAATTTTTAGCTATGCACTGTTTGATTATTTCCATGTCAGATTAATTAAACCATCTCCAGATCAGAAATATTCCACACGTTATAACTTTTTCAATTTCTAATGTTTTCAAGGTATCAGATTCTATTTCGACTGTTCTTATTTCCAAATTTAAACAAGAAAAAGAATAGCAATAATTTTTTTTAGCTAAATCTAAATATACTCAGAGCTATTTATGCAACCTTTCCCACATGCTATATTCCTCATTTATGTAAATCAATATTGCCTATAAAGCCACATGATTGAATTTACAAACTCTTTTCATTCAGCTTCTTGGCTTCATGCATTATTTACCTATAAAGTCAACCATGCTCCTTTTCCAGAAAGCTCTAAGAAATGCTTCTTTTGTTACAGGTTTAAACTGGTTCCATCTTTTGCAGAAGCCTGTTAGCATCTGCACCATTATGTTTGAGAGAATACGTTTCACATGTTTGAGGTACAGTTAAGGCCAGCAAGCCTGGCGTACAATTTAGCAGAACCCACCACTTATTAATTTATTCTCCTATTAATATTTTCTTTTCAATGTTTTTAGAATATCAGAAAGGAACAAACTGAAAATCGGTGTTACTAAAAATCCAAATATTAAGCACTGTTTAACTGTAAATTCCTAACATTTAAGTGCAAAACAAGGCAGAGAGAAAAAAATGAAGGGGAAAATAATATATCACAAAATACTTACATGACATTGTATGATAGATGCTTGGCCAGTATTGACCATTATCTCTCTTCATCCAGACCCGAACCGATCTACAAAGGAAAAGGACATTTTCAGATATTTCCAGAGATGGTATTCAGCAGGTTCTGACCAGTTCTGGAGTGGAAATTTTGAGTAGGTCAGAAAACCGGCAAACACCACCTCTGACTGGCCCTGCCCCCATCTATTCTCCGCCTCCCGAGTCCCAGCTGATTGGCTGGGTCTTCTTTTGTTGCCCTGCACAGGAGAATGGAGCCGGAAAGCAGGTTAGTGGGGTGGGGGAGGGAATGGGATTTTGCAGTAACCTTCCCCCAGGAGTGGGGACCAAGCCACACCCACCAAGCCACGCCCACAGAACCAGTAATAAAAAATTTTGAATCCCACCACTGGATATTTCTCTATAATGGAAAGCATCTCAGAAAGAAAATAGAAAAGTTGTAACTATCAGAAGTTAATTATCAAAGCTTCTGAAGGAATGCAATGAGAATTGGTCCCCTCGTACCTTCTACAGTAGTCCTCGACTTATGACAACGGAGTCTAAAATTTCCGTTGCTAAGTGAAACATTTATTGAGTTTTGCCCCATTTTACGACTTTTCTTGCCGCATTTGTTAAGTGAATCCCTGCAGTTGTTAAATTAATAACATGGATGTTAAGTGAATCTGGTTTCCCCATTGACTTGGCTTGTCAGAAGGTTGTAAAAGGGGATCACGTGACCCCAGGGCACTGCAACCATCATAAATGTGAATCAGTTGTCAAGGATTCAAATATAAATCACACGACCATGGGGATGCTGCTACGATCATAAGTGTGAAAAATAATAAGTCAACTTTTTTCGACGGGGTTGTAATTTCGAACAGACACTAAGCTAACTGTTGTAAGTCAAGGACTACCTGTGCTAAAGCAGAAACTGCAGCCACGACTTAGACCTAGCACTCAGTTGAAATAGAGCATCATAGCGATCCTGTGTTTTTTTCCCCTCATTTTATTTTTTGAACGAATGACATTTTTCCAGAATATTCTTGTTATCATACATTGTTATTTTTAGTCAGCCAATAAAAACAAGCACACCCTAATTTTAATGTTGCATAAATATGGAAGGCCTTTATCCCTATGAACGATAAGAGTGGAAAGAAAATATTTTATTAGAATACAAAGAACAGAGGAAGCATTTAAAAAAATCACTTGGCAAACACAGGGAATACTTCTGCCCTTAATACTACTGATAGGCTGTTTGTGTCAATATTATGCCTGTTCAAAATGATGTGATATAACCTATTTTACAAAAGTTTCATTTGCCCACCACCCCACATATATATATATACAGACCTGACTCTTGCATGACAAAAACTCATAAACAATGTTTTGCAGATCCAAATGACTAGATTTTAAAAAGCAGACTTGGCTTTGGGTTGGTATACCTAATTGTATTATGATTGTAATGTAATTGTAATGTTCATCCCTGCAGCATTTAGGATTATATTTTCCCACTAACGATTGCAGCATCTTTTAGGGCTGCGCAAAAGTAATTATGAGGAGAGGCTTTTCAGAGATGGTTGTATGGTGCAATGCATGGGTGGGATTCAAATTTCTTAACAACCAGTTCTGTGGGTGTGGCTTAGTTGGTGGACATGGCTTGGTGGTCATGTTATTGGCTGGATGTGGCCAACTCAATATCACTCACATCGAGGCACGCATCTCCTCACCTGGCCTCTCATGACTGTGGGAATGCTGCAACAGTCTTAAGTATGAAAAATGATCATAAGTCACTTTTTTCAGTGCCATTGTAACTTTGAATGGTCACTCCACACAAGCGAAGTACCAGCAAAGGAGGGAAAAAACCTCCAGAGACAGGAAGTCCAGTCCTGCCAAGAATGTAATAAGGGTTAATGGAGAGGCAGTTTCTGTAAGCAACACCAGAATGTGTCCTTCCTACCTTCCTTACAGGATTAGGCCAGTAATTTCTTCTAACAACCGGTTCTCCGAACAACCGGTTCTAGCAAATAGGTGCGAACTGGTAGAATCCCACCCCTGGTGCAATGAAGGCACAATAATCCACTACTAGTGAAATGGCCTAAACAAACCATTACAGGAAGAAGTGTTATTAAATTGGGGTCCTAGCAACCCACGGGCTAGTATGTGAATATTCACAATAGGCATAATTATTAAATCAACTTTCTTGACAAAAGGACAGAGGGAAAGATCTAATATTTCACTAAAATTTAGCAAACGCTAATAATAAAAAACAATACTGTGTAATAAAATTATTCCAAAGCCATTTGAAGGACGCTGGGCTACAAATATCAGGTCATCTCTAGAATAGTCAGCATTAGAAGCCAGAGAGTTGCTTCCAGTGACACGGGCCACCATATAAATTTGATAGATGGGGGGGAAGAGATGCAACATAAAAAGAAGAAAGAATGAATGATGATAAACTATTGTTTATCTACCACTTTCCAAGATCTTTCTTTGCAGGCCTTCTATTCTTATCTCCCTTTGTTTTCCTGCTCCTTTACCTTTTTTTCTTTTGCATTTATCTACCAACTGCAAGCCATTGGGGAAAGATATATCCTAAGAATTATATTTAGTGTTCAGTATTAGTTTCTTTGCCTACGGTTGAATAAAACAAGCAGTGACTGGCTTCAGGGGGAGAAAAACAAATCAGGGGACTACAAACCAGAAAAACCAGTTTGGGGAAAAACGCATATTATGCTCAGGGAGAAACGTTACTTAATGCTTGAGTACACACATCTCCAAAAATACATCCCTGTACAATTGTTCTGAACAAACAAGCAAGAGACAAAAAGATGATGTAGAAAGACAACAGCCTGTGCATATTTCTTATCTACAGACTGACTTTTGAATGTTAATCAGCAAATTTTGCAATAATTGCCATCTTTAATTTGTTGAAGTCAGGATTGACTCGTACTTTCACTCATATTCCACTTAGCTCCCAGCTTGACAAAGAAAAGGGAGGGGGATGGAATGGAATGAAAGGGGGGGTGGAATGGCATCCAAGCATCCTTGGTTCCCGTGAGACATTGCTCCCCCCTCAAGGACACCCTGAGCAGATGTCATAGCGTGGTCAGCTGGTTCCCATAACAAAATGAACAGAACAGATTGGTGGATGTAATGGACTGTGGGTGGCCCATGGGGTAAAGGGGAATGAATTATGTGTGCTTTTGCATGGGAAGCCCAGAGCTGCTTTTGCTTCTTCTGTGCCAGTGTGGTTTATTCAGTAAAGTTTTTATACTCTTGGAAAATAATGCACCGGGAGTTTCTTTTTTTTTTCTGGATTTGCTAACTGGAAAGTTGACATTTAGGTTTATTGCAGTTTTCTCCAAATTGATGCCCCTAGATGTGTGGGAAAGTAACTCTCAGGTTTCCAGCCTGCTGAAAGCAATAGGGTCAGCAGCCCCCAACCTTTGCGGCTTGGCGGGCCGGCGGGGGAACCAGGCCGCATGAGTGGCAGGCTAGTGCATGAGTTGTGTGCATGGCCCTATTCTAAATAGGCCATGGCCCGGCACTGGGCCATAGCCCAGGATTTGGGGAACCCTGCAACAGGTTGTCTTTTGCATTATCACGATATGCCAGAGTCTGTTAATTTTACTTATGTACTTATTACAGTTATTTATATATTACTTTCAGGATTACATATCTTTTAAGCAATATCATCAATAATATTTCAATAAATAGTATTTTTTAAAAACAAAACAACTTATAGAATCCTTCAGCCAGGAAAACCAGTAGCCATAAGGAACAAAAGATGCTCTAAGGCTGTAGATGATGTTAGCCTTATATACCCTTCAGATATTGTATATGTGGACCACAAAACCCAAAATTCTTAGCCAACTTCACTACGAATTCCAGGAACAAAACATAACAGAGAAGTCTGTTTGGAGAAGGCCTTATAATTCATATTAAGGAAAGAGTCAATTACTTATGGATTACACGATAACACTCCAGATGAAATTATAAACCAGAAATTTAATAATTTAAATTTAATAAATTTACAAACCTTTGTAGCACCATCCCTCAGATGTGAGTTAATTAAATGTAACTGAGTACAATACATATAGGAAATTTGATATTAGTTCTCTCCTTTTCAAGTTGGCACATCTTTTCCTTTCCACTCTCATGGCCCAGTTTTCCTATTTCAGTACATGCTACAACTTTTCACTATCAGATTAAGCCTTCACTTCAGGAAAACAGTAAATTTGTCTTCTGTCTGATTTTTTGGTCTCATGTTTGCGTTTCCTCTTGAAAATATCCTGTTGTTGCTTAGTTAATCAACTTGTCTGGTATGTCTTTTTAACCCCATGATGTTTGCATTCTTTCAAAAACTATGTTGAAAGCACTGTAATAAAATACAAAATTTAAAATCTGTAATTAGTACTTAATTTAAATTTAATTAACAGATTAACAATTCAATTTTGTTAAGTTTGTAGTTCACAATATAAGACATAGTGCAAATACCAAAAAAATGGAAAACTGGTCATTGCGAAACTATATCAACTCTTTCAAGCAACAATCTAAGTAAAGAAGGGTAGTGAAACAACTTTCTGGGGTTTTTCACCCAAAAAGAATGGCCAAAAGATTGTTAATAGATGAACTAACCAACAAGCTAATGTGGCATTTTTTTCTAGCAACAATTACTGGTCTACAAAATTATTTCTTAAATGTTTGATATTTTATTGCTCTGAATACTTATTTATTTGCCAAGGGCTATTTGCCCTCTTCTACAAGTAAACAATCTGCATCTCACTGCAATTGTGGGTGGGCCCCTTTCCTTTTCACATATTTGCTCATGTGTAGGATGGAAAGAGTACATGGATTCTGACAAGCTGGAAGAAACAGGAACTATTGCCTGACAGATGCCCCCTTTTTCAATGGAAAGATATTGTCAGAAAAGGCTTTGGTTATTATTCTTTTATGCTTTGAAAAGACACAATGGCTTTTCTTTTGTACATTTGCTTCAACTAAAATCACCTCAAGTGATAAAGACGAAGCAGTACGTTTTAAAGTCTAAGTTGGTAGGCACTAACACACTTCACA